GTTGAAATCCCAATATCACCTACGCATGATGTGCCATTGCCGTTTCATCAAATTATGACTAACGATAGATTTTTCGCAGTAAAAAAATATTGGATTTTGACCGCGGTGCATATTATGCCCAACAGATGGGGTCGTCGGTACAAACGAGTCGGTATCAATTTTTATATTCGATTTTTTGCGTTTGTATGATAATGTAAGTATTATAGGTACGTATTTTCGAGACGAATTACGGAGTCCCGGCGACCATTACGCGGAATTTTTCCCCAATACTTTATTTCAGAACCCCATTTGGAATTCTGTCAACATGCAAGTGAATAATACGAAACGGATAACCAAAGTCCCGAAAAATGTATTCCGTTTCGTTTCCCGTATATTATTATACCTCTCAATAATAATGTAATACTGCAGCACACTCATGCGCACTCGTCACGTCCGTCCGACTGCCGTTGGCACCAGACGTAATATCTCGTCGAAACGATGTTCGTATTATATAATATTACAACAGCAGAATAATATACAAAGTATTCGGACCCGAAACGAATATTCTCCTCCCCCCCCCCCCCGACGTCGTAAAACACCCACCCGGTTCAGTGCGACTGGCCATTGTGCGACTAAAATAATATTATAAACTCGTGCGTTATAACAATATTATAATATAATCACTATGATATATAAGGGCTGGGAATTCGATGACCTAAAACAAAAACTACGAAGGTTCCCTATAAAAATTGCATTAATGAAAATGTAAAACCAAGTAGGTTACACAGTAACCTTTGTAATTATGAAATGCTCTAGAAGTATAAAGAAACAATTATGATCAATCCGTACTAAAACGAACATCGTTTATTAGGTACACATTAAAGGAACACTAGCAAAAAAAAAAAAAAATGTGCAAAGTGCATTGAAATCTCAGTCCCTAATATTGTGACGAACTATTTTCTGTGGGCCATTTTAAATAGCCCAGGTGAATATTAATTAGCAGAATAATTTAGTGAAAATTTACCGATAGATGTTTGACATCAATTAAATTAAAATAATAACGATAAATTGAGGCATTAAGTTCATTTTAATTTATTGTTAGTTTGGGGTTATTGGTAAGATGCATTTCTCGCGGAAAAAAAGTTTATGAAATGATATTGACAATTTTTTTTCCGATGTGTTAACTTTAATTAAAACTATATTAATTCATCTAAACGTAGAATTCGGTATTTAAATTAATTTGAAAAGATAGCAGATTATTGTAAAATATATTTGTAAGAATTTTAACGACTCAATGTATTTTAATAATTTAATGCAAATCTAAAGTGTTTGATAAGATACAAATTATCATTCTCTCCATAGTTTTCTGCAATATAATTGAATGGGGTAAACCTCCTATTATAAACTATAAGATACGTTTAGCAAAAATTATTTTAATTTCTAGAATGTTTAATTTATGTAAACTGTATTCAAAACATTTAAATTCAAGAGGATGAATTTTCTTTTAAAACAATTTATAACTTTAAGGTACTAATTTTATTTCTTTAAATAAATGTACGCATTCAAAAACAGTCAATTTTTATTTAGAGTTAACATCGAAAAATTACCACTCTATGAGTATGAAATGATCATATTATGCAAAGATAAATTAATTTAATGCCAAATGTAAAAAATGTTTAATGTTATATTTTTTTTTTTTTTTTGGTTCACGATATGCATATTTTATATTATTCAAATTCAAAATATCTAAAAGAAACAATGGAATTAGTAACATTTATTCACCAAGAATCCTCATTATTATTCAAATTCAAAATAAGAATATTGTATTATACATAAATTTGTTATTCGAATTTAAAAAAGATAATTTAAAAATGTTGTCTATATAATCAATATAATTAATTGGAATGAAAACTGCCGAGTAACACGTAAGATAATTATACGATGTATGATGTATCTCAACGAAATTCTTTAAATGAGTTGTAACAGGCGTACAGCAAAGTATTCCAAATTCCAAAATAAATAGTTCTAAAGTAGAATGTGTAATAATCTAAAATGTTAAAGTGCCAATGATCACCGTACTGCGTGTGGCGTTTCGTACAAACGAAAATTTAATTGTTCACGTTATTTAATTTAATACGAGAATGATGATATTTTTGATCACATGACCATATTAATCCATCATAACCACATATAAATGGGACTTTTCAAATGCATCGTAAACCGATAATTTAGATATCTCTCTGAAACAGCCTCGCAGTCGGTCGTATAATTATTATATTTCTAACAAAATCATTCCAAATAGAAAATTATATAATAACATGCTCGTGAAATTGGCGGTGTTCAGTTAATTAATTAAAACAATTGAAATTAAAACCAAATAAAGTGTTTATTTTTTATTCATGGTTCTGAACATATTATGTTTTCGTGTGGGTATTGATTGTAAACAAAAAAGTAATTTGAAATACATATACCGTAGAAGTTATACCTACCTACATTTGTAATTATTGTGACCAGACGTTTTATTGTGTTACATTTTACGTCATGTTAATGTTAAATTTTGATAAATCAAATCATAAAATATTAGTTTGAATATTTGAGTCCATGTAGGTAATTTTATATTTATACCCACGTCAAACAAAACCACTGTGGAACAAGTGTTTTGGACACGGGTTTGAGATTGATTGAAATGTTGGTGTTTGTCAGTGGTGGTTTGGGTTACATAAGTATAAATAGGCCTTTTCAAACCAATTAATCTCTGATCAAATTATTACTAGAGTATCTATTAATTGGCAATCATATTATTATATACACTAATTATTTGGGAAATCGAAAAAAATTGTGTGTTGTATTTATTTCGCGACATCAAAATGTAATTATTATTTGTATTATTAATATTTTGTGTAAATCGGATTAGTTGACTGGTGCGAAAACGAGCACTTTTTTTCGATAAACGGACAATAAAATATTACATTTATCGAGAAAAAAACGTTTTCATTGACTATTATATAATATAATAAAATATTATCATTGAGTATATATTGTACAGTATATAATTATACACTCGATGTTATTATATATAAGTGAACAAAAACGCTATCGAATTTAATAGAATTTGAAATTTAAAGAGGAAAATAATATGTGGAAGTATTACGATGTTATACGATTTTCACATTATTTTGATAATAATTTTTAATCCTGTTTTTTCAACTGGAACATCTAGGACTATCCTTAAAGCTTTGTGTTGTTTCTTTAAAAAAAAAGATACCCTAAAAAATGACTGCGCTTATCTAACACCGATGGAAAATTTCAACATTTCAAACACGCGATGAGATGGCATCACAACATTAAAATAAAGAAAACAAAAGAAAATAACATAATATTAATTACATATAATAATAATAACATGTAAAAACCGAAATGATTTAAAACCTTCTCCACAACATTAAGCATTCATGATGCAGTGCGGCATATATAATAATAATAGTAGTAGATAAAAAAAATCACGGATATTATTATTTTGTATGTGTACATTACCATATTTCAGTATAATGCTGCAGAGGATATAATATTATATCGGCTATTTAAAACGAAATACATATAGATTTGTGGAATGTGAATGAAATTCAGAGCACAAAAGCTTTCTACCTCCCCCCCCCCCTCCGCGCTCCTCGTCGACCACCCCTATCCATCGCTATGCGCATTGCATGTCATAATAATAATATTTTAATAATTCTAACACACAGTATTTGCTGCAATAAAAAATATCACCGCAAGATAATAGTGACGTAACAATGATACACAAGCCGTAAAAATCAAAGCACTCGCAATAATTAATTGAATAGTTGAGAATTTCGTGTCGCAGTCTATAATAAATTATTACGTTGAACGTTTCTAAACGCTCGTGAAATACGCCGTAAGACACTTGCCAGCTATATTAGGTATAGGCACCGCTTAAACAATGAAAATAATAATATGCAAATTCGGCTATAATAATTTATATACATAGTTTGTGTTTCAGACATAAACATAATATATTATATGCTAGGTATGCGCAGTCACGGGTTCGCGAATAAAAAAGGGTGCGCTGGACACGATAAATCGTTTTCGTGTAACTATATTATTTGGAAAAAAAAAGCAACACATTTATTTTATCCAATATTGTCGACTTTACTTGCATTCCTGTTCGTATTCAACCGGAAAATTTTTTAATAATTAATGATGACTCTATGTATATGAGGTGAACGCATTATGACCATTATATTAGACGAATCCATTAATGATGCATCGCATTCCACTTCGTCTTCCTTCTCGATACACGCACAAAATTGCGTCAGTTATCTACTCTAAAACACACAAATAATATAAGGATTAGGGATTTTGCTTTATAATATATTCAACGATGTGGCTAAGCAGTAACCGACGAATGCGAACGTGTTCCATCCGTTGCAGACCCCTTGCAGTCCTCGTGGCACAACGATTATTATTATTATTTATTATTCAATATATTTTATTCACAAACAAACAGTTGGTATACTTATATAAAGAACATTAATTATTTTTCTTTGCACGCCTTCTTTAAGATAATTCTTGAGTTGAAAATGTTGAGTTCATAATATGGGTACAAAGTGAAGAAAAATAAACAATTTCTTTGAATACTTAATTAATACTTAAATGATGAATATATTCAATGTTCTCAGCATTGAATAATTGTTCATCGGTGGACCGTGGGTAGTGTAAGAAATAAGTTGAGGAAAAATGTATTTATGAAATTAAAAAAAAAAAAACAATGACAACATTTTTCAAACGATCCCAACTGCACATAAAAACAAAACGCTCAAAAATTCAACTGAGGATATCTCACTGAACTTCTTTTGTTGAATAATTTTAATGCTCATTTCACATTCAAAAAAGAAAATATTTAACATTTTTTGAATAAAATACATTAAGCATATTATTATTATTATTAAAACATCACAAAATGTATCTATACAATTTTTACTTAACACGTATTTATGTTTCAGGTTTTCGAAACATTGTACTTGACGGATTTATCAAGTTTATACTTCATTAGGTAAGTTTGCAAAATGAAATACAAAAATAGACATGTAATTAAAACTGATGTTATGGTAAAAACTAAGATGATTTAAATGACAAAGAAAGCACATTTTTCCCGTTTTTATTCAATAATTTGGCATTATTTTAATGTACATTTCAGCTTAAATATCTCAAAATTAATGATACCATTTTAAAAATATTAATTATTTGATGCACAAGTTTGGTTATAATCAAGATTAAAATGATTATTTTTTCTGTAAAATTAAAAGTAAGAAATCAAAAATCAAGGATCACTGTCTGCTGTATTTTAGGTTTTGACTTTAGTTAGTTAATCACTGCAATAGATTTGTTAAATTTAAAATTCAACAATAATTATATTTTAAGCTATAACATGAACTATAGTGAAGGAGAGAGGTGGTCAATAAAATATAAATTGTGCATATGTATTTCCGATAGTTATAAATTGTTGTATGAACAACTTATGATAAGAATCTTCAAAAATAATTGTTATTAATTCTCAAGCAAGGGTTATTAAAGTTGTATGTATTTCTATTTACACTATAATCGTTCCGCACAGAATCTAAAATATTTATTTTTTACAAATAATTTAATTCAAACTATCTAAAACCGTTCAACTTACTTAAAAAATATGAATTTCGTTCACGTTTACTTTCTATAAAATAATTATTCGATAGACTAAATGAGTTCAAACAAGTTTACTAAATACTGTGAACGTAAACATCACGGTTTTAGGTCATCGACATCAACCAAGTCCCAAAAAAGCAATAAACATATGCGAGGAATATTATGGGTATGTAAACTCAGAACCATTTTCAATGTTGAAGATCAAAGAAAATTAAACATCAGACATACACAAATAAAATAAATCACTCATCGTTGTGAGGCCAATCCTCGCTCCACCTAGAACATAATATTATGACTGTTAAATAAACATCAATATACATTATACATAATTTCAAAAACAAAACCATAATTTTGTAATCATATTATTTACACAAGTATTTATGCGATATGGAATATATTATATTATTACATTACACTATACTGCCACGATGAAATTTGGTAAAATTGGTATAATTTACCACAGACCGACAATTTCTATTCAAAAAATAATATTTTATATTCTCGCAACCTATATACGTAGACAATTTCGAATTAATTAACCCGTTGTGTGTACTACGTGTAGGTATTTTTAGTAATGAATCTTTTTAGTTTTCATTACTCCATGCAAATGTTATCTATTAATTAAATGTCATATTCTACTGAAGCTAATTCAATTAAAGTATGACATTTGAATTACTTCTTTCGGGATTACATTTACATTTTAAATTAATAAAGTTCACAAACCTCACGGTTTTTGGTGGATGATTTAATATTTATTTTTTTCTATATAATAGCATATTCGAACGTGAAAAAAATTAAAGTAACATCTTAACGTCTAGTCGTATTATGGGGTTTATTTTTTATATTTTTTTTATTCAATTATAAAAAAATGTTCGTATATGTACGCATATAATGAAACCACGAACGTTATATTATAATAAAGCACAAGTCATTAAAAAATCGTGCTATACTGTTATTACTTATAATTGTTCGAAGACTGCTTCCATGTATTATGTTCATAATATTTTCCTCTTTCTTGGACTATTTATACCCCCCACCCACATAAGTATTACAATATAATAATATAATATTATCACATTTTTAAAAAAAATATTATTGATGGTTACAATATAGGCCATTGAGTTTACGAATAATTTAAATTTTCAACATATTAATAAGTGTACTATTATTCTAAATATTAATTTAAAATTTTGGTTCGAAGATTGGTGGCACATTTTGTTGCAACCCAAAGCGTCCAAAATAGATGAGTAGTATTCGATGGATTCTTTATTGCTTATCTATGTATATTATACTATTTGTTTTCTATGTTAACGTCCGTCTGTCCGTTTTTTAGTAATATAATAGTGTGCGCGGGCGATTTGATTGTGTTTGGTGAACATTTAAAAACAATTTGTTACACGACGTCGTCTGTTTGACGCAGGTATATGTCGTGATTTTTCCGTTTTGCCCAGCACGCGCGTGCACCGTCTACGGCGACACTATAATAATATATATTCTCACACGTGCGGGCGATGTGAGTGCGTGTGTGTGTGTGCACGTGAGAGTACGTGAAAAAAAACCGAATTAATCTCCGCCATCTTTTGACCCGGAACCTTTAATGCGTTCGCGTCAGTATCTGTCAGCTGAAATTTATGATGTCTTACCTCGTTCGGTCGGATACCGCGGAGGAAATGACGTTTTCTTATAAATGTCTCTGTCACCCAGTGTACATATGTATATATATTTTATACGTACCTACATCCTGGTTCGTATCCGTTTATCCTTTGGGCGCGACTGCTCAGCCATAGCGTCTACTATACGTTACTACTGTATTGTATCTGTAGTAGGCGGAACACATATATAGGTACTGAACCTGTATAGACACAGTGTGTTTCCGGATGTTCCGTTTGATACTTTAAAAATTTGTAATTTTTTTTAAACTTTTTTTTAAATCTCAACTTCTCAAGTCAGTGACTGCTGCACAACCGTTTGCATCTTGAATTGGACTCACAATGATTACTTTAGTGCAGGTAAGCGACTAAGATGCCCAAAACTTCCTTTTTTATTGTCGCACAGTTGTTTTCTGCATCTCGTCCGTCGTCCCAATACGTCACGAGATAGGTTTCGATTCCTTTCTCAGAAACTCTAGTTATCATAGCTAAAAGTTTTTACGGAAAACCCATAAACACCTTGTTCCTGCATTGTGGGTTAATAGTGGCCGTTCCCGATCAGTGGTGGTCATACAGGGGGAAGGAGTGAGGGCCGAGAGGGATCATCCACCGTAACTTTTTTTCGATGTTTAAGATCCAACCAACACAAATTATATTTTTAATAATCAAATAGTGAAGGTTTGAAAATCAGCCCCCCCCCCTGATAAAATCATTGACCACCACTGTTCATGATTGAATCGTTCTGGATTTGGATAATTCTGAATAACGCCATAAATATTATGGTGGCAATTGAAATATGCTTAATGCTCATTGTACAGGTGCCTTTCACATTACCACTATCGGTGACGTTATAATATTAATATAATTATTTGACCTCAACAGATGATATAATAATATACTTTCAGATAGTGTTTTATAAAAAAAAAAGAATCTATTTGAACAAAATAGCGACAAATAATATAAATTATTATTTTAAACATTAGCTTTCCGGGTTTGGGCATCCGTTCCTGGGTCTGTGTGTGCAATGTGTGCATATCATAGCGTGTGTATTATGTAATAATGGACTGTTATGGGTAGGGTGGTCTGACAACAATACTAGTATTATACCTATATTACACGCGTTTGATTGTGTGTTCGCGTGTTTTGCCTAAAAAAAAAATAATAATAAATATAATAAACAATATACATTATACATATAATATGCATTTTTAATGATAATTTTGACGTACCTATACGTTAAGAGTTTGGAAATGATTTATGCTTTGCTGTTAGGGGGTATGAGTATTTTATTTAAAATAATATGGTTTAGTAATGAATAATTATACGCTAAAAAAGTTGTTCAACGAACAAAAAAAATATATTAAATATTAAAAAAATACCCTATCAGTAAAATTTACTTAAGTGTTTTTATTTTTCATTTTAGTATTATTAAAAACAATGCAGTCAAGTACTCGGCAATTTAATAAATAATTTTTGTACACAGTTCTTTTTGGCATTCGAAACCCCAGAATCAGTGTACCGAAAATAATATTATCAACCACGTTAAATGGATTTTTTATTGAAGAGGAATATCATAATACAATCTCCGTTGTAGTATCTAAAATTCTGCACTCACTTCTAAGGCGGGATCTGCAGCGAATGTTTTCACATTTTTATATCTACGCATCTATACAATTTTACATATTTTTTTTTTTATACACAGATTCGAGACACAATAACCGCATTTCAGCAATGAACGTTGGTAGTTTATTCTGGCCCATTTAGAGATATTTCGGGGTCCGGGGCAGAATCATGCATGGGGCCCATTTTTATTTAAATTTTATTTCAGGATATTAAAACTTGGTACATACTTTTCAAAAAAATGTGCTGATAGTCTATGGACTATACGTTTTACACTTACCTAAGACTATTTTTGGCTATTTTATTTTTTATGGACGCGTGAGGGTCCCGAGGGCCCCATGGTCTTCTGTTGCCTGGGTCAACCCAGATACCCCCCCCCCATGAACGGACCTGAATATAGTTATTGTATACGTAGGTATCATAATAATGTGATATTGGTATTTTAAAACGCCGAAAGTGTTCGTACCACAACCTCGATGCTTGCAATAAAATGTTAGGATTCTTTCGGATGCCAATCGTCAGATATTTCACTTATTTTCATGACTTATTGACGTCAACCAAACAAATTGCGATGGGTTCGTTGGACCGCGCTCCATATTATATTGTTTGGATCAACAACACTGACACGATAGGCGCAGTACGAACGATTCTTAACTTCGGTCCGTCCATGTATTATATGTGTAATGTTATCATTCTATATTTTAAAATATTATAATTATATAAAGGTATTTTGTTAAATTTTAAAATTAAAACTATATAATTATATTTTATTAAAATATATACGATTGGGGTAGGTATGTGTTGTATGCTTTTATATTTTTATCATCTCGTATATCGTGTTATAATAATAAATTACAATGAAATATTTAGTGATTCGTCTTGGCCACCGCCAATGTGCCGAGGTGTACTTTTTGTGTACCTATCAGATTAATGATTTATACAATATGACTCGTGTTAAGCGTGTGCACTATTATTATCGAGTAGGGTTTTCCACAGTGTTTTAAAATCACATTATTATCTGCATACCACGTTTTACGATTGCAAAACAATTTCCCAATAAAACAACTCCATTTACTAATGTTATTATAATGTCGAATGTGCG